GGACCCCTCCCCCACCAATCAATCAATCAGGCAATCAATCAATCAACCAATCAATCAATCAATCAATGATTTTTTATTTTTATTTTTTAAATTATCTAAGGCACTCAAGAAAAACACCCTCCCCCCCAAAAAAAAAATTCTTCGTTTTTTTTGTGCAGTCCTTTAGAGGACGTGGTGCGCAGGCTGCGTGCGCCGCCCGATTTCCCCCGCGCGCCCCCGCTAGGCCGTGGCGCGGCCGCGTGGCCTCGGCCGCGGGCCCGCGGCCGGCCTCCTCGGCCACGGTTGAGGCCGCAGGATCCGCGGCCGACGGTGCCACGTAGGTTTGAGCCCAACCAATTCAGTTACCTGTCAAATCTGGACAGGACCGCCTTTCAGGCCTTTTTCTATTGTCATCATAGTATTACGGCCAGGGAACCCCCGTAGCAGCCACTGAGCCAGTGAGCCACATCCGTGCTCAAGCCTCCAACGAGGCGGTAGCTGCACCCACCAGCAGGTGCGATACCTCCTACAGCAGGTGGGCGATACCGGCCAGCCAGTGGCATCAGGACCGGGCTTCTTGGATGGGCGAGTCGCTAGCCTTCCCTCCGGTCCCCTCCCCCTATGAACATCAACAGTCTCTGCTAAATGCCACTCCTGAGGACCAAAGGCCAATCTCTCTAGATGGCAGGCGCCAAGCTTGCCCAATGCCCAGGAATCCTGAGGAAGGTACATGAGCCCAATAAGTATTGAACCCAAGACCTCCTGAATGCCATTTTCACCATGATAATTGTTAATAAGTCAGACAGATTGTCGATCCATAAAATAACAAAAAACAAAAAGAACAAATTCAAAGTCAATCGGCGATGGTTGCCCACAAGTAATGAACCCAGACTGGAAGATACTCATTAGACGTCGAAGCACAAGTAGACACATATCTGCACAATGTCTCCAGTTAATGTGAAGTGATATATGAAACAATATCTTGTTACCAAAGACGAAGAGAGTGGAGGGGGAATAGACAGAGGAGAAGGTGGAAGAGATAATCAATGAACACACAAAAGTAGCCCCAATCCTTTCCCACTCCTCCTGGCTTCCCCTTGCATCCACGTCAACAACAAATATACGGTAACAAGTCTGATAAACCCTGATCACACAGAAGTGCCACATGACACTCTCTTTCTCGTGGAGATCATGACGACAACCAGCAACGTGCAATATCGACGTCAGCCTCGGGTAAGTACCCTGTCCTTCAATCATCCACAGATCCCTTTTTTCTCTTTCTTTTTTTTTTTTGATGGGAACAAGGCTCCAATCTATTCGTGCGGAGAAGCACATGTTGGGAACCGGGCCCAGCGTCCCATATGGAAATTTAGATAGAGTTTTAAAAGTTGAGATACCAGGGCCATTACCCGGCTTCTATGAAACCGTATGAGTGCGCGTAAGCGCGAGAGCGCGCGCTTTATCCCCCCCCCCCCGCGCTCAAAGCGCTCAAAGCGCGTAAAAAAAAAAAACAACAACCGAAAAAACCGAAAAAAACGACAAAAAAAAAAACCATGTGCACCTGAGGGGTTGCGCGAGTGCAGGGGATGCCATAGGGAGGGTTGCACGGGAAAAAAAAATAGGGGGG